TGATCACTCACCTATAACAAGATTATAGCTTTTCTTTTTCCCATTTGGATCCTCACCAGAAGTTAGAACCTGGGCTTCCATTTCATTGGCTTGCACTCTTTAGTTTGGTGTGCCATTTCTCTTTGGTAGTACCTTGGACAACCAATGGTGGGATGGTTGAAAGAATAAGAGAACGGGCATTATAGTTTAGTATCAGTTTGGGATCTTGAGTTTGTAGTTTCACAACAAGCATTGTACAATTCCTATTTCCAGAGCATTAAATTGAATTTTGATGAATATTCTCTGAATAACCCAGGGCCTTCAAGTATTAATGACTTTCATAGGATCCATGTGAGAGAGTAAAGCTTGTTCTAAATATCATGATGCAGCCCTGTTTAAAGGAAAAGTTGACTCTAATCTTGGAAGGAATGAAAAATTTAACAATAGGTGCCCGGATGGCTGATTATTGCTTCGAATGTAACCCTAGTTGAATGTGTTTTCAACCAATATTTTTAGAATGGGGCCCATATAGAACCGTTTTGATGATTGGGCATGGGGTCAAATTGTTTTTGATTTTTTGTCATTGTTAATGAAGGAGTTTTAGTTTGCTTTTTCTGTTTGTTTCTTGTTTGTTTCCTTTTGCTTTGTAGTGAAATGTTTCTTTGCCAAAATGGTTCAACCATTTTGTTTTCAACATTTCTAAGAACTTGACCACCAAATTCTTCTATCGGCTCCCTGCTCTGACTGCACAATTGTCTGGTCCAGTCCGAGTCCAACAAGATTGTTTTCAACACCATTTTCATTTATCTCACTTCTTCCATCCTATCTTCCCTGATAATGTTATTAGAGAGTGCTTTTGGTGAGGGGGAAAAAGCAATCTTGGGTGGTTAGGATTTAATTTGATCTAAAGGATGGCCTTGGTTTAAGAAGTATTAGAAAGAAAAATGCTTTTATGTGAAATTTCTTTGAAACATCCCATGGATGATTTAGGTTAGCTACATCATCCATCCATTGACAGGAATGAGGTAGGAATTAGGTTAGTTACATCATCCATCCATTAACAAAACGAGGTAGGAAATAGACTACATGAGCCTAATTGATCTGAACAAAGAATCCAATAGCTTTTGGCCAATTAAAAATTTATTCTACCAGTAATAAAAAAAATAAGAGAATCACCATGCATGTCCAATTAAATAAATTGATGGTACTTGCTCTGCTCTGGTACCCTTGGGTTTTATGGCAGGAGGTATCCTTAGATATCCATCTGTGCTTCTACTTAAGGTTCAAAATATCGATACACTTGATACGTCGGTAGGGGCGTATCGGGCGTTTCGATACTCATTTTTTTACTTTTTTTTTATTTTTTTTCAAAACTAGTTCAGGGGAGTCGATCTAGGACCCCTCCATCCCCTGAACCAGTCAGACCCCCAATACACCCACTGTAAGGGCGTATCGGAAGGGTCCCAAAATGATACGTATCGGCCAATACGGGCCAACACGTAACGATACTCTGAACCTTGCGTTCTACTCTTCTATTAGAAACACTTACAACTGCATTGCAGAAATTTGGGCAATTAGACAAGGATCCATCATCTCTAAATATAATTGTTTTTACCAATTACTATAGCTATGACCAGTTTATGATGGGAAGACCACCCATCATCCCACTTACAGCAAGACTCTAAGACAATATAGAGACATCATTTTCATTGAAATGTTGAAATGTTGAAATGTTTCTTTATACAGGCGACAGCTCACGACCCGATAACATGTGGTCCTCAACACAACCTATTATTTTTGTTCAAGTACTAACTGTAATATTGGTGGTTTATCCATACACCATTTCAAGAAGGCATTTGACCAATATTTTGATGCAATGCTTGTCTTACTAGCATGGGAACCAATGGATTATTAGTTTGTATAAATAGTTTAATGCTATGCTTATCTTGCAATAATTTTTTATTTCGTTTGTTTAAATATTTTTATCAATAAAAATAATAATTTTTATTTTTTTAAATTATTTTATTATCATTTTTGTTGAAATTAATATTTTTTTAGTTGATATTCAATTGCCAAAGCCTTTTTTCAAGTTGTTTATTATATAAATTATAAAAATTAGACATTTATGATCGACTATGTAGATTACTTCATAAACTATATGTGAGATACAAGGAATCAAAAATATGGCATGGACTGGTCCACACCACACCCAAGGTTCAAAGTATCGTTATGTATCGGCCCGTATCGACCGATACGTATCATTCCAGGACCCTTCCGATATGCCCCTACAGTGGGTGTATCGGGGGTCTGATTGGTTCAGGGGATGGAGGGGTCCTAGACTAGCTCCCTAAACCAGTTTTGAAAAAAACATAAAAAAAAGTAAAAAAACAAGTATCGATACGCCCCTACCGGCGTATCGGGCATATCGATATTTTGAACCTTAACCACACCTATAGAACGCCACTATAGGTGTGGACGAGTCCAATCTACACAGTTTGTCCACAATTCAAAACAGTTGTGAACTGTGGTGTGTAGTGTGGATTGGTCCCTACCACAAGGTGTGGTATGAACTGATTCACACCACCCAATTTCTCATCCACACTACAGAACACCACCTCAGATGGTGGGTCAACATGGGTTGAGTGACCCATTAGGGTCAAGAATAAAGGGTCAGGGTGGGGTTGAGTCGAGGGTCCCAATGGGTCATAAAGGGTCAAGGGAAGTGTCAAAAAAATCAAAGCCATCGAACGAAGTCTCTATCTTCCGCTAGTCGCCACTGTCAACTCGCTTGTTAGGGTTTCTCCATTCTGCCATTAGAGAGAAGCTTCAACACCATTTTCTTGCCAATATTGAAAGGCTGATGCAAGGACGCCCATCACCACCAAAAGATCTTGCCACCTCTAAGTCTCTAATCGATGGAGCTCGCCGGTTTCTGCCTCTATTCTTTCTTCTTCCCCCTTAAATGCCGACAAACCGGCTATCGCCTCCATTCTTCTTCTTCCACCTCTGTTATTTATTCCACCCTTGTTATTTCTTTTGCACCCTCAAATGTCGACAAACCGGTTGTCGCACCTATTCTTCTTTTTCCTTCTTTGTTCTTTGTTTTGCATGTGTTCTTTCTTCTTCTATTTCGAGGGTTTTGTTTTTGATGGATAACAATGAGGCTCCAATAATGTATGGGATGGAGCTTTGCATCCAAGTTTTTATCCAGAGATCTAATCGACTATAGCAATTTATCATTTTAACGATGAGGCTCTGGTAATGTATGGGTTGGAGCTCTGCCTCCAAAGCTCACGGATGCATCCAAGCTTTCAATTTAACATTTTTCTTTGAATTTCTTGCACATTTTACATTTTTTCTGGTTTTTTTTTTTTTTTGCATTCTTATGTTTTTCTATAATTTCAGTGTTTTAATAATTTTTGTAGTTTTTTTTGCAATTTATACATTTCCTGTATTTTTTGTTCTTTATTTGTAATTTTTTTCTACAACTTTTGTTGTTTTTTATAATTTCTTCTGATTTTCTACAATTTTTTTTTCAAATTTAATATTTTTCTAAATATGAACTTTTGCATTTTTTGTATTTTTTTTTTTGCATTTTCTGCATTTTTCTGTGTTTTTACAACTTTCTATTTTTATGTGAAATGATACTTTTATTTAAATTTGTTATTATATTTCTTTATAATTTTTTATGGTTTTACATACATATATTATATTTATCATTTTCAGTATTTTTCTGCATTTTAATTTTTATTTGAAAACTATTTTTTGAACTTTTTATCAATTTTTATTTTTTCTATATATATATAAATTTTTAGTTTTATCATTTAAGTTTTCTCACAGCTTGGGTCAGGGTCAGGGTGGGTTTTGACCCACTAAAATCAATAAATATGGATGATCAGTGGGTCAGAGGGTCAATATGGGTGAGTTGTTCCTCAACCCACACCCAACCCACCCATTTGCCACCCCTACTTCCAATCATCGCAAAATTCAAAAGATGAACAAGGCATATTCTCCTTCCCCTTCCCATCGCTTTCTTTACCTCACTCTCCCCCCAAAACACCCTCTTATATCAAATTTCAATTTTGCAAAAAATCTCAATAGAATCCACGATCAACTCACTCCACCAAAACCCTTCCCAAATAGCACTTCCTATATCAAACTCCAGTAGCTGATATCTCAATAAAGGGGATTGGGATTTCTAAGAAAAGTCATCTCTTGCATTGATTATTCCATCTCGGAGGTTCTCTCTCCTTCTGTTTGTTTGATTTGGATAAAATGTCCAAGGTTCCGTGTGAAGACAACCCTATAATTTCTGTTATTTTTTGCATTTTCTGTATTTTCTATAATTTCTATATTCTCTCCACAAATTCAATTATTTTTTTCATTTTAATGTTTTTCTATAAATTTTGTTATATTTCCTGTAGCTTCTTTTTTTTTTTTGCTTGTTATGCATTTTTTATATAATTCCTGCATGTTTCTGTATTTTAATAATGACTTAAAAAATTAATGGGTTGCATTGGGTCAATGCAGTTTCGAGTTCAACCCAACCCATTTAATTGTCTAAACAGGTCATCAACAGGTTGGGTCAAAGCTCGAGCCAAACCTAACCCGCCCAATTGCCACCCCTAGCTGCTTCAACCAACCATCCGATAAATAAGGTGCCAGCTAACTTGCCAGAATGGTCCCTAGCTGGTTGTAGCAGAAACTGAGATCGGCTTCAATGTTCAATCAGTGCAAGCCCCTGCTCACACTGTTCGAACAACCCCTTGCAACCTTGCATTGGGAATTTGCATTGACCAAAGACATTCCCCATAAAATAAAGCACATAAGTACGGAGATATTCCCAATGCAAGGCTGTAAAGGCTGTTCGAATGGACTTTGCACTGGCCACTCGCAGAAACTTGGGATTTGCACCTTCACCTGGGTCTGGGTAGGGGTTAGGGGGAAGGCCACCACCTGTTTTGTAGCCCATGCCTGCCAGAAGAAAGGAAAAGAAAGGAAACCATGCAACAAAGAGCACATGCAAACACGAGCACTCAAGGCTCTAATGTTGCATTTAGTAATAAAGATTCAACAACGTAAACGACCAGTACAAGAGAACCTGTAATGCTGATGAACCACCAGAGTCATCTTAGCCAAAATTGATGTAGCAAAACCAATGCTACTTCAGATAAGTAGAAGAAACCCAAAGAAGGACGTAGCTTATCAAAGAGGTTGTCACTTCCAAACTCCTTGGACCGCGAAGTATAGGAGGAATCACAGACACCATCAAGAAGGTCCCCAACAGCCAGGAAACAATGAAAGCTCCAAGTCTGATAAACAGTGAAATCCAGACACCATAAGATTCTCAAATGCAATAGTACATGGGAATACAGTATTGCCTTCACTCATTTAATGAAACAAAAGTTAAAGAGCATACCCATAGAGCACGGCTCGCATTCGGCTCTTAAGTCGATCATATATGAAATATATGGTGGCTATAAATGAGATGGCAACCTGAAGGGTTGGTCCATCTTCCGTCGGAAAGAGAACAGTGAGCACGCCAAGTGCAACAAATGCAATGGCTGTTTTTATGATGAAATTCGTGGAGGGAGTTTGGAACCTGCTTGTGATAGCCTGCACAACACGTGATTGAGTTACTTCCCTAACCTTTTTCTTGATATTAATTTTTGGATTCTTTCTTTCATAAAACTTCTGCATGATTATCTTATCATGAGCCGATTCAATTGCATCAACACTAGGCTTGTGCCCTGCGTATTTATTTATCAGAAAATTCCTTGCAGCTTGGATTTCATCTTCAGAAGCCTCTCTACTTATTCCAAGCCGTTTGTATGGATCCTTAATGTTGATTCTGGGAAAGACGGCTGCACCCATAAAAAATTAAAGAATGGTTGTCATAAGATCTAAAGAGCCAGAACACAGAATGCGTTCAGAAAAGTTGAATTATACAGAAGAGGGGGGCAGTGGTTAAGACTGACATCTTATGCAAAGGCAAAATTTAAATACCTGCTCATAAGGGTTAGATTTCTGAAAAGATAAATGACAATAACATCGTTTGTAACGAAAAAGACGACTACCCAATTTTGGTCCCAAATTTCTGGGATCGTGGGAGGGGTAGACTGGGTACAGTCCTACCTTTTGCATTTTTTGTGTGAATTACAGATTACTACCCAGAACTTTACAGGTAGCAGCAATTACCCCCCTGCTCTGTTGAGTGATGGAAGAAGTTAATTTACCAAAATACCCACTCAAGAAACGTATTAAAAATGAAAATTGCAACAAAAAAAAACCAAGAAACTTCTATTAAAACCTGGAATTGCAACAAACATAACATGCAATTAATATCAACTAAACTAGTAACAAATGGAAATAAAAAAACGTTAAAAATCATTGGGAAAAGGGTAGATGGGGATTTAGAAAAGTTTAACAGACACATGAGAATTTTTTTCAAAGTTAACTGACCGAATGCTTACAGAGGGGGCCTTTGTTGGAATCTGAAAGTTCAGAGGGGTCTTTGTCACAAATAAAAGTTCAGGGGGTAATTGCCACTACCCCCAAAGTACAGGGTAGTAATGTGTAATTTACCCTTTTTTTGCACAAGTGGCCACCCTCAGAGTTGAATCTGCATTCTCAAGCTTGCCAGCCCTAGATTTTACCATTGCACCAAGTAATGGCCCCTAAGAACATCTCTGTAATAAGGACATAAAATATCTTAATCAAACCAGGTTATATTTGCAGTATTGCTGAACTGAATGACTTATTGTTTGGTCTTTTAGTGGATAAAATAATTAAGTAAATAAAATATTCAAGGGTATAGTAATTGACCCAACTTCAGCTTCAGTCATTGAGGAGCCCATAACCTCCTTACAAACTTGTTCACTAAAAAAACAAAGCAATAAGCTTCTTTTATTTCAGTCACTTCAGCTGTTGGCAAATATCAAATGGCCCCTTCGTGATACACCAGAAAATGTCACCATATATCCTGACTGATGGTACCCACAAATTCAACATATTACTATGGCACTCTATCCCTGTGGCTATTATTTGGTCCATCTGGTAGGAGTGGAATTTGAGGATTCATAAAGGTTCATAGGAGGGCAAGATCATGAGGGAAAGTTATTGGCTCTATGGATGTTGGTTCTCAGTGTTCTAGGAATTAAGAGCAACATCTCTTGATGATATTGGAAACTTGTTATGGGAATGATAGCTGAATAATTTAGTTTTTTTTTTGTATTTTTAAAGTAAAAACAAATGGTCATTTTCTGGGTTGCATACAGTCACTATATAGGTGGCTTTGTCTCATATAGATTTTTGAGTGGATTCCATAGTAATTTAAGGACATTTTATCTTTTGTTCAAAAAACTAAAGCAATTTAATGACTGATCATGGACAAGGGGCTTCATTCCTTAGTTGTTGTACAGTCAACTGCAGATATCAGTAGAACTGTGGAAGGACAGAGATGTCTATCAAACAGACAGGATAAGCTCTAGAACAAAGTAGGGCCTATCAAACAGAGAGAGATGTCTGAAAAACAGTATCCGGTTTAAACATTGATCTAGAGAATGAGATTGCAGCCAATGAGAATCCTATTTTGAAATGCTCTCCAATTTCCCAGGTTGATCCTGAGGAACAGGCTTCAGTAATAGAAATCTAATATATATATTAAAGGAAGGATTTCAGGCCAAAGCCCCCTCCCAGTTAGACACGTGCCATCCCATTTTTATAGGAAATAGTATTTCAATTCAACTGCCCACCTTCCCATTTTTATAGGAAATAGAATTCAAATTCAACTACCCACATTTTCAGGAAATAGTAATTCAATTCATTCATGGGTAAGCACACATTGCTTACTTCTAGGAAAACAAAAAATTAAGCACGCGTTGCTTTCTCTATTGATTAATTCAATTAATTTAACTGAATTAATCAATTCATTTACATAAGTAACAAACTGATAAGAGAAATACAAAATTTTTCAATTATGAATAAAAATGATTAAATAATTCAAAACATTTACTTAAACAAAACATTATTAAATAATTAATAAATTGAGAAAAGTACTATATTATGATTAAACAATTATAATTGATCATTCACTATAGAATTGATAGTTAAATAATAAAATGATTAAGTAATTTACTAATTAGGAATTAAATTAACAAGAAAATATTGAATAATTTAATTTATTCAAATAAAATTTGATCAAACCACTAATATTGACTAATTCAAGAAGAAAATAATTGAGCAATTAATAAAATGTTTAAAAATTAAAAAATTGATAAAAGGAAAATGATTAAATAATTAAATATGATTAAATAGCAAAAGTCAAATCCAACACTCCATGCATGTAATACATTCTTTAAATGTTAGCAATATTAATTAACAGTATTTAATATAGCAGTTTATATTTTAAAACTTTACCTTATTGGTATCTATTAACAGTATATAAGGACACGTGTTTGTAATTTTTATTTCCAGTGTTTCAAAAATGTTCTAATAATTAACAGTAATTACCAATAATAGCAATTACCAATAACAGTAATTAACAGTAATATTTATTGACAAAATTTATCAAAATTATATTGATTAACATTATTTATTATGGTATTCATATAACTTAATTACGAATTTAATACTATTAAATATATATGTATACATACATGTATATATATAATATATATAGGGGGAGCTGACAGTTACAGAAATCTTATTCTCAAAAGCCTCCGGTAAACTTCACTGTCCAAGTTGAAGCCCCACCCCGAGGATAATAGAAGTTTGTATGATCAGGTCATGTCATAAACTCAAAGATAATTTTCCAGGAGATAGGGGCTGCAAATCAGGTACCCAATTTGAAGAATCTCCTTTGCATTGGGCATGGGCAAGGGTCCTCTTTCAAAATTTAATAAATGCTCAACCAAAGCTGGCCCCAGTTGCACACCCTACAGAAGGCCCAATATGAAAATTACCATGTTTCTAACATTAAGGACCAGGTTATATATGCTATGTGAAACATACATATTATGCAATATATAGTTTGTTTCTTTAGCCAATAATATATCAAATCAAATTCTAACCAAAAGGTTAATAGACAGAATAATACACTGCAAATTTCTCTTGAGAGTCAAAACCACATAATATAGTAAGTTCAAGAAGAAAGTAAGGCTGCAACTTGGGCCGGGTTGGCCCGAACCCGACCCTAACCCAACCTGAAAAAGTTGGGTTGGTTTGGGTCGGGTTGATGTTCGGCTTAGGGTTAGGGTTGAAATTCATGAACCCGACTTTACTTTGGGTTGGGTTAGGGTTGACCCCTTAGTCAACCCGACCCAACCCGAACCCGACTCCATAGTACATGTCATATATAAATATATGTTATATATAATATATAACATACATTGATTTGTTTAGATGCATGATATTTGTATAGCCCCCACCACATAGTATCATGTATTTCTTTTAAGATAATCACTTCACTTAATCCTAATCAGAAAGACTAAAACCTTAATAACATTATTTTGTGTTTTTTGAAAATTTTATTCATCTCCTCTATGTTGTTTGCCGCCCAAGAAAGATCTATCGCAAGCCATAACTCATAATAAACTATAGTCATTTCTAACCCTTGCTTTTCTGAATTGTACTAAAAAAATGACGTCAACAAACAAATACTAATGAAACATAGGATCAATATATGTATTGAAAGTTGAGTTAAGATCTAAAATTGAGAAATTCTATGAGATTTTAAAGGATGGGAAGAAGGTTGGGTTGGGCCCAACCCAACCCGAAATTGACTTCGGGTTGGGTTGGGTTGGGTTAGGGTTGAAGGAATTTAGTTAGGGTTAGGGTTAGGGTTGGGTTGGTTGGGTTGAAGGTCGGGTTGGGTTAGGGTTAGGGTTGGGGTTAGAACTTAGGGTTGGCCTCAACCAGACCTAACCCGGCCCGACTTGCAGCCCTAGAAGAAAGCATGAAGTTATGTGGAGATGGGATACATGATAGTTAACTGGGTTTTAGTCTTCAAGAGTTTTTTCAAGTCTCAATAATTTGGAGCCAAATTTTGGTCCACATTAGAGTTGGATTTGATTTGAACGCATTGTGTTGTTTTCAGTAGGAAGAAGGAAGCCCTTTTGGTTTTGTCTGGTTTTAATTTTTGTAGAGGTTATGTTCTAATGTTATTTTGTGAGTTCATGTATGGTTGTGGGTGATGCCACATCGCCCTACTCTTTTAGGGCTCTAATGTACTCTCTTTTTTTAGTTAATAAAATTTCTTTTATTTTATCTTCAAAAAAAATAAAGCAAGTTCAAGCAAAATTTTAACTTACAGTGTGCAAAATAATTATAATAGATCAACCAAATAATATATCAGACAAACAAAACTAAAATTTAACACCACATCCAAAAGGAACTTTGACCGCAGTTGAGACCAAGGATGTAAAATTGATACCATCTGTGCTTGATCTACTTTACATGGATGAGATATTCAAACTTAGGATCGCAGTTGCTGGTGAAGACCCCCTGTTTCAGGAGAGAGACCAAAAGGCAGCAAGAGAGGCACTCAAGGTAGGGAGTCTGAAAGCTCCTACTGTTCGGCCAGCTTTGGGAGAGTTGCAGAGTTTGAGGCTCAGTGAAGTTGAAAGGTCAGGGGCTTGCAATGTTAATTTGATAAACCCTAAGCCCCTGAGCCAAAAAGATTTGAAGGGTTCAAACTTTGAATCAAGTGGGGCTTGATAATTACTAATGGGTTTTGTTGTGCTGGTTCAACTAGGGCCAGTTCAAAAATCGGGTTGACTCTGCCAAGGTCCAACCTCAGTTATTTCTCAAGTAGAGATTATTCAATGGTGAGCCAAAACTTAGAGGCTGCAGAGATTTCTGAAGA